CTGGTTTGGATCTGCACACCTCTGTGACTACAGACCCCAGGAGCTCAAGAACCATCAATGGGAAATCTAAAAGCAAGACTCAGTGACAGAAATAGCAGTAATATTTTCTTTCAAGGTATGATTGACAAATGATAACCTTCGTGTCAGGTAACAAATTAAACAATAACATTAAAATGAAAACTTGGCACTCCCAACTACCCAGAAACCTTTTATTAGTACTACTTATAGCCAGCAATTGAGAGAGAGACAGAAGAGAGAGAGCAGGAAAGGAGATAGATGGGAGACAAAGAGTAGAATATTAGCAAGAGAGAGAAATAAAAGTCTCCTTCTCTCCTGAGGGCAGAACCCCTCCTTTCCTGTCAGATATCAATTAGATTTATAGTTTTGGCTCCAGCCTGTCTTAATTGCCTGTCTATATGTTTTATATCTAAGATGTTGGGATTCGCGTGAAGGGATTTTCACAGAGATGCGACTGGAGAGCTTCAGCACTATTACTGGCTCTGTGCAGCCCCACTCCCTCAGCTGTGTGACCCCGCAGTGAAACAGCTTCAGACACATACAGCCGTATGCACACCATACACACCACCCAGGACAGGCGTGTCATTACATTCAAGACATTAGCTCATTGTGTCTTCCCAGTTAAAAACTTTGAAGTATTTTCTATTTTTATTAACACTAATAATAATGTAACGCAACGGGGGCTCAGGCGGGCGCCCTTGCCGTATCTGGTCGGCCCAAAGTATAGGTGGCTCGAACCCGGGACTTCTGCGTCTCTCTGCAGCGACCTAGCCCCGTGAGCTATAGAGAGATCTCTCCACAGCCCAGTAGCTGTGGTCCTGCTATCACAGGGAAGGGCGGTGACGTCACCCGCTCTGGTACGCCGGCTCTTACACACACTGCTTGTCGGCCGTAAGCGTTACAATAATAACAGCTATCCATCCATTTTCTAACCTCTCTATCAAGCACATGGTCATGGGGGAGTCAGTGCTCAGATCTCAGCAGCATGCGATTTGTATGAAATTATGAGTGATGCTAGCAGGAATAATAAAACCCTAGAAATAATGGACAAGAGCACATTACATGTCAGGTTGAACATAACATGATAATATTAATAAAAATAGCAAATATTTGATGTTGTTTGCTATTCATTCCTACATTTCTCTTAAGACTATACTGTAGATAATACTAAAACTTGAAAGGACAATATCTTCAATTGGGAGTTGACCTATTCTGTCCAAAGTAGAGGGAAAGGCTGGACATTGTATGACTGTAAAAAGACTGTAAAGTAGTAGCAGACCAGACCTCTTCCTTATTTTTCTGTTCTAAGGTAGTTGTATATAAGTAGTCATAAGGCATGATGTAGCAGATCTGGCTTACGTCTGTTTAGAAAGAGCATCGTGTGTTTGTAGGTGAGGGGTGAAGAGAAACACCAACAGAGAGAGCTACTGAAATGAAGAGACAGAGAGCAGGGCTGGTGTTCTCTAGGAAGAGCCCTGAGGGGCTCTGTATTTCCACAGCCATTGGAGCAGATCTGCTGGAACACATCAGGATGTGTCCAGCTGTCAGTGCTGATGGCCGAACTGGAGAGTTTCCTGCACTGTTCTGGTAGGGGGTGTATAAAAGGTATCTTTTGGTATCCAATAAGAGAACCGATATTTTTCAGGTATAAATATAAGAGTTGTGGACCAGCTGCATTGTAGCTATGTGCTTGTCTTTGAGTACAATGTGGTTTTGACTTTTCAGAAATTCAGGGGAGAAATAATGGAAACCGCAAGGAGAGAGGGAACAGATCTGGAAAGGCTAATCTGGACACTGACACCTTAATCATCTTCAGCAGCCCTGACAAGCGCAGTAATGTGTCTGATATATGCATACCTGTGTTCTCCACAATCACATGTTCACTCCTACAGCACACTTATGTCATCAGAGAAAAATTCACACTTCCCCACGTTATTCACCTGTGATGATTTATATATTCAGGTTTATGTCTTTCTCTTTTCGTGTTTCTAGCCTAATCTGATCTTGTAAACTACAAGACCTGCCACCTTGAAATATTACTCCTGGCTCTCCCAGGCCCTGGGAGGGTTGTGTGCAGCAGAAGACATTACTCAGTTTGCTTCGCGCAGCCCTGCTGCCCCCAGCCTGAGCCGTTTCAGCTAACTGAAGACGTCTGAGCTGCCCACACACAAAGCCCACACCCCCTCCTTTCTCAGCGCACACCCACAACACCTGGCTTCCCACAGTGCCTCGCTCCACCAGGACCTTCGCAGGCTCTGTCCCAGTCAGCAGGACAGGGCTGACTTAAAACCACTCTCCGTACCTTGGCAAAACAATGCTAAAGCAGGACTTGGCCCTCTCTGGATTGGGGTGTACACATCTCATACAACTATACAACCCATCTTTTGGGTTAACAAATAATGTGTTTCCCCATCACCAGTTCTGACCAGTACAGTTGGAACAGCTTACTCTTGCTATTTCACAAGGTCTGACCCAATGAACAGAGCGCCTCTACAATCAGTAGACATTTTCCCACAGAGCTGTGTCACCAATATGAACCTCAAAGGAGCTCATAACACAAGACCAGGATTCCATACTCATTCATTCCAGAAACTTCAGTGTTGTTTTCAGTGAACCAGTCACAAAATGGTTACAGTACATCAAGTTGGGGTATCCCACCTTTTTTTCAAGAAGGGAGGAACAAATTGCTAATTGCACAGAATCAAACTGGAACTTCTAAACTCCTTGCAGTAACTTCTAAATTAGCATCCTAGGCAGACGAGACTCGTGTCAGCTTCATCTTTTAGTTCTCTCATTAGGGAAGAAGCTTGCGAGGCTGCATGAGTGCTGTCAGCCAGGCGAGGAGCTGCCAAAGGAGCTCATGATGGCCACAACATCTCTGCCCCCTCCAGTCCCAGGCCCGAGCCCCAGGGACGTGTGCTCTGTGGGAGCCCCACTCCCCCACTCCTGAGACACCCAGCAAGCCCACGTGTTAGAGCAGACAGGGCTCTGCGGAGGGCTTCTGACTGGCTGGGCTGACAAGCTCATTAACAAGAAGAGATTTTTTTAAGCATCGTGTTGGATTCTGGATTGCTAACTGCTTATTTATGAGTAAAGTGATATCACTTAGCTGGAGTACAGAGAGCTACAGAGAGAGGAAAAAAAGAGGAATTTCGTGTTTAGTGCACTGACATAAACCTACAGTATTTATAGCCACAACTGAGCTATCGCTGGTGTGCTGATTTGTGGGCTCAGAGCGTCTCATACTGTGCCAGCTGTGAAACCCAATCTAACTCTGCCACTCTGATCGCTGGAAAAAACCTTCAGGAAACTCTTCAGCTAGGCTGTCTGAGGAGCCCAGAGACAAATCCCTGGTGAAATAAATATTCAACTTCTTGTTCGTTTTTAATTTTTGGTTTCGAATGCATTTCAAGTTATTGAAGCAGCAAGGAGAATCTGTGTGTCCCTGTGGTCCTCTTCACCCCGAGAGTGCATCTGTATTTCCGAGCGTCAGAGAGTGCAAAGTGTCCAGACACGAACACTGGCCATACCCCAGTCCCAAACCTTTGGGCCTTGAGCACTTGTAGCTGATGCAAACAGTGTGGTCAGTTGTTCTAAAACGGCGCTTCATTTAAAGGGCTGTGGGAGTTTGGATCAAGCGGTGAAAGATCGGAACCGCCTCCTCGCTCACTGCCAGACCCTTGCAGCATTTCCACGAGACACGCGGGGACCCGAATTCTCGCGCGTGAGAAAAGCTGGCAGAGAGTCCATGTGGTGTTCATAGAGTTCGGGGATAAAAGAGGAGAGTGAAGGGGCGGGGGAGCAATAGGTCAGTCCTTCCGGGTACTTGAGGGGGTTGGTTACCGCGGTCGTGTGCTTTCTGGTTATGAAGACGGAGACGGACATCAGTCCACGGAGCGGCGAAGTGATCTGTAAATCTGTTTTAGCTTACGTCCAAACCGTATTATCTCTCTTCTGCAACTGTTTTAAAGTCAGCTTGTCTCACTACTAGCTAAGTTAAAGCCGAGACCCTGGTGAGATTCTCGGACAAAATACGTAAACCAAGCGAGCTGAAGGCAGGTGGCCGCCTTGTTTCTAAACTCTATTCCCCTGCTGGGTGATGCCTGACCCAATGCACTGTGTACCGAGAGGCATTGGTTCCGATACTTATACCTTTCCTTAAAATACTCTCATAAGTGTTCACTGGTACACTAGAACAGCCCAGTTGTGTTCACTTCGGAGGTTATGGGCCACGTTTGACGTGTTTATGGGAGCAGAGAGTAGCAGTGGCGTCCGTGCTTTCAGTCGGCTCCGGAGTCTCGTCGCTCTGGCCTCTATAACTGTCTTTCCGGTAGGATGACTATGAAAATGTTATCAAGGCTGCGGGATGAACTATCCTGCAGCACAAATATCGTCCGAAAGGCTGACGGTTCGTCACTGAGCACTTGCGCTTATCTACGATCTTGCAACTCAAAACTGGCAGCCCACTGGAGCTCAGCAGGTGTGAGCCTGGCCAGTACCTGGATGGGAGACTCCTGGGAAAACTGAGGTTGCTGCTGGAAGAGGTGTTAGTGGGGCCAGCAGGGGGCGCTCACCCTGCGGTCCATGTGGGTCCTAATGCCCCAGTATAGTGACAGGGACACTATACTGTAAAAAGGGCACCGTCCTTCGGATGAGATGTAAAACCGAGGTCCTGTCTCTCTGTGGTCATTAAAATTCCAGGGCGTTTCTCGAAAAGAATAGGGGTGTAACCCCGGCTTCCTGGTCAAATTTCCCATTAGCCCATACCAATCATGGTCTCCTAATAATCCCCATCTATGAATTGGCTACATCACTCCGCTCTCCTCCCCACTGATAGCTGGTGTGTGGGGAGCGTTCTGGCGCATCATCCAGGTGGGGCTGCACACTGGTGGTGGTGGAGGGGATCCCCATTACCTGTAAAGTGCTTTGAGTGGAGTGTCCAGAAAAGCGCTATATAAGTGTAAGCAATTATGACGATCTGTTGAAACACATGACTTAACAAGGGACACCTGTCCATTCTACTGCACTAAAAAGTCTCAAACCTGCTTTCACTGCCCCTACCGAAACCGCGCCGGCGGATCTGAAGAAGCTCTTCAGTGGCTCTCCATCGCTGAAGAGCCCAGACCCCGCCTTGTCCTCCGAGCGATATGCCCGACTGTGGCGTAAGCCGCTGTGTGCGGATGCGTTAACATGCGTGATGTTCAGCCTAGTTCTGCTGATTCGGTTCTTTCCCGGTTCGATCAGATTCCAGTGCGCTCTCACCGCTTTCAGGCGAGCAGAGAGGGGGTCACCTGCAGCCCAAACCCCAGATATGGGTTTCTGCAGAAAGGTCAGAGCTGATATCCCTGGTGGTCCGCTATACTGAGTCACTACAGGACTCCTAAGACCTGAAACGGTCAGATGTATTGGTTTTAGGGTATAAATGTATTTGCGATCTTAGCACCATAAAGCTAAATTAATACTCCTCGCCAAGTTTGTATTCTCTGGATTTTAAGATTTTTTTTAAAGCATTAAATCTGGTTTGTAAAGCCAGACATGTCTCTGAGTTTGCAGACTTCCCACGGCTCGTAGCAAGCGGTAGCTCCGGTGCTGTAGGAGAGAGCAGAGGGTTTCAGTACTATCGCCTGCAGCTGTACGTGAGATTATGGTGTGCTGTATAATACTTTAAATCCTGCGATATTCCTCTCATTGTGGTGCAGGTTGTGGACACCCACAGCGAGACAACAGGCTCCCACATTAAACTCTCGTGCCGGAGAAGCGAGTGCTGGTGGGGACTAGCTCGCGGGCAGACCGGCCTCTGCTGCGGGCGCTTCGGGGACACGGGTGGCCTGTGCGGCTTTTTCTCCACTCGCGATAGTGTTCTTGAGCGCTTAAAGACGGTCATATACAGCAGCAACGATCTTCATTCTCCACGGTTAATGGTTTTAAAATCTAACCTGGCTGCAAGTGTTCTGTAAATTGTTGTATATTCGTTAATAAACACCCCATAACAAACACCAGCCTTTTCTGGCAACTGTAGAAAAATTTAGTTACAATCGTAGTTAATTGCATTTTGTTACAAATTTGTTCCGAGATGGTAGTAACTGGGGTTCGATTTCCGAAGCTCTGTAAGTGTGGGGTAGGTTTAGAAAGGCCCATATAAATACTGGGTAGCGACTTCCCATGCATTTTATGGTTCCTATGTAATATTCGTTTTGGGAAAAGTTTTAATCTGCTGTTCCTAAAGATTTTGGTTAGACACGAAAATGTGTCTCAAGCACTCCCTCTGCCTAATCCATCCCTTCACAAAGGTGCGATTCGCGAGGCTGGGCGGCAGGGTTGTCGGCTCTATTCTTGCCTTGGTTAAGGATAAATCGATTTCAATATCATCTTTAAAATAATGAATTGCTGGGGGAAAACACTTCAGTATATAACAGCACGCCGAAGGTCTTATAAGGCGTTATGAGAGAGGGTATTGGAGAAAACGGTGGTCAGAGAGTCATTAAAACTTCACATTTCTACCAGCCCCCGACGTCACGTCTGAGCGGCGGCAGTAATCTGGTAAACGGAAATATAGAGCTCGTTTTCTCCGTGAAATCCCCGGGCCGGATTTTTTTGCGGGCGCTATCGCACCTTAAAAAGGGTTAAATGTCTACAGAAGGGTGGGGCCACAGGAGAGGAAAAAGGTAGAGAGAGAGGTAATGTAGGCAGTCGCAGCGCAGTGACTGTTGAACTGAAGTCTCACCTGGGACGGTGCTGCCCGGGCCTGACTGTGGGACCGCTGGGGCAGACAGGGACCAACCCCTTCAGAGCACCTTGACCTGACCTCCACACGGCACGGCCTCCCAGCTCGTTCCTCGGCGCCTTTCCCCGCGACTGGCTTCGGTTTTTAAAAAGAAACGGATTCCTTCTCTCCGGACAGCCGGGCTCGATCGACAGATGGTAGCAGGTAAAGTGATTGTTTTTTTGTTCTTTAGAAATAATAAGGGTATATATCAGGTTAAGCCTTTTTAGATTTTAAAGCACGTTAACAGAGGAAGAGGGTAACATCATAAACATGAAATGGCTAAATAGCTTTTTATGTAAGTTACAAAATTTTTCATACCTGCTCATCGTTGCTTAATACTAATTTCGTGTCGGATAATATATTTTTCAGTTAAAACTAATGTTCTTAGTAGAACCCAAGCGAGGAGTTTAAGGTTCTTTCTGAAGTGATGAGTTTGTCAGGTGAATTCAGAGGCGCCTTTCCGCCGCCCGCCAGTGAGTTCAGCGCTGCTGTGGAACTCGTCTCGGAGTCCAGACAGAATTTAACACCAGCTTCACAACTGCTTAACAATTACAGATGGAAAATCACTTCAAGATCTCGCACAGATAGATGTACCTCACTGCGCGTTTCATTTTAGAAGTACCAGCTTTGAGTATTAAGATATAGAAAAGGTCTATTCTGTTATGATTTCATTTGTATTAAATCATTATGTTGATGGATCGACTAATGATGCGGCCGTTTGAGACGCAAATATGTGAAAAGTTTCACCTGGGAATGAGAGGAGACGGAGCCGAGTCGGGACCGGCTGAGGGAGAGCTGGGGCGCGCGTCTCGGCTTGTGAACGCGCTGCTTGGCCGCTGCTTTCCCAGCGAAAATAACGTTTAACGGCACCAATTACCGAATTAATGCTTGGTGACGCAGCCTGCCTGCGCGTGTATCCGTTTATTGCTCCAGTAAAAGCGAAGAGCCCGCGCATCCTGAAGATGCAGGTTTCAGAACCAGCGATCCCTTTCGAGCTGACAGCGAAGGCGGGACCGCAGGTCGCCGGTGTCCCGGGTGAGATACCGAGCTGCTGCGCGGTCTCAGGTCTCGGGTTTGTTTCAAAAATAGAAATCATTTAAACGATGCAAGATATCGAAAAGAACAGTTTCGTTTTAAATCCCCCATAAATAACGTCTAATTAATCGAATACCTTGATCTGCCTATTAAAAGAAGAACGCTGTTGAAGGAAAAGGATTTTTAATCTTTTTGAACAGCGCGATTCCTTACAACATAAATTCTCCTCGTCGCCGAGGGAGGAGAGAATTTACTCTTCCATAATTATTACAACTCTTGTCCCTTGAGGTATGATTTAATGCGCGAGGGTTTAACACAATAAGCTCTTTATTAGGGCTCGGTGTGGAAACCCGACAAGATTTTATTTCGCTTCCTATTCACGGTATTCGACGCAAATGTACTCCTCAGTTATTTAAACGGGACAAATGAGTATTTTCGTGATAATTCTTTATCCTCTTTGTATGAAGTTTAACTGCGAAGAGAGCGCAGAAATCTGATTTATATTACGCGATTAGGAGCAAAGCAACTTTATTCAAACAATCGCTAAAAAAACGGAGAACTGAATAGTACTAACTCTTAACTTATAACTTTATTGTTATTTTAAACTCTTTCCTGCTTCCCACTGAATTTAACACGCCTGTTCTGTCACTGTACGGATTACTCAGATTACCTGGGCCCGGCTCTGCCAGGGCGTACTCAGGGGCTCCGACAGCTGGAGTTTAGCGTGTCCAGCCACACGGCCGCACGGCGCTCAGACCGCAGGACCCCGAGTGGGAGTGGGGTCCCCTGCACTGGCACTGTGCCCGAATAGGGTCAGATCCCCTGCGGTTCCACCTTATTGGTGACTTTCATACACATCAGTTTCATCAGGCTCCGCACTGGCAGTAGAAACTGGGGGACACAAAGCAAGCATTAGGAACAGATCTATGAATTGTTACCAAAAAGCGTATAATAGAAACGCATAGGTCTGACGAGAAGTGCGTTTCTTTAAGACATACACGAGAGGGTTAACATCAATAAGCCCAAGGCTCAAGTTTATGTATTGTGTATTTTGCTTCTGGCAAATCTTTGGAGAGAGCTTGTTGCACCCTAGTGCAAAGACTGCATTTTCCAGAATGAAGTCACTGCAGTTTAGGTCTCCATCTACACCACGTGAAGGTCTTTCCGCAGAAATTCGCTTGAGTAGTTTTAACTGCTGAGTTCAGGGCTCAAAGGAGGTCACTCCGTCTTTGAGTGTCAGGAGTTGACAGTTGTATACATGTGAATTTTCCTATTCATTGAGTCCCTACCAGTGCAATGTAAGGCCAGTGTTGTGTTGACTCGCACGCAAATCATATGTAATGTTCTGCAGACTGGCGAAGGCTGGGCAAACTCTGAAGGCTCGCGGGTGTACTGAGGGCAAATTTCGACACGCTCAGCTGTCCTGGACTGAGAGACTTACGATGCGTCTGAGATTTACAACATAACTGCATTCGCGTGGTGCAAGCAGTAGCACAGACCCCGAGAAACGCTAAAGTTTTCTGTGGCAGAGCACAGAAAAAACAGTGTAAAGTGTGATCAAGCTTAATCATGGTAACTGCAAGAGCTGTGGCAAATATACCGGCAGTGGAAATAGTCAACATGGTAAATTCAGTGCAATACTTGATGCCGCCGTGTCTTCTGGGTATCTGCACCCCTGTGTGAGCCTGTATGGGTAGCCCGGTTTTGGAAGACGTTTCTTTCTAAGGCTAGAATCGCCGCGGAGAAGTGCCTGACCACCCAGCTGCCCACACGGTGACCTCTTCCGTGAGTGCCGGGCTTCAGCATCCACCAGACACTGCCTGTTGAAGCTGAAACGCACAAGGTGTGTCCGGGGAACTTCCGCCGCCAGAATGGAGGTCAAGAGGACCCCCTCCTCCACGGCCTGAATTTTCAGAGACGGTGTCTCCCATCTGTGTGTGTGGAATTCACACTTAATTCGCAAAGCTGTTTGTCCCCGGCTGACACGAGCTTTCTCTCGCCGAGATTGTGAAACGTGTTCGCGCTGGGAGAATCCAGCTGGCTTCTGTTCACGGATCGTTATCTGAAGCTCTGAGGCGACGCAGAGCTCTTGACCAGAACTGACGGGAAGGAAAGCAAGATCAATGCACAGTTGATATTTTGGCCTGGGAAGATTTGAGTTTTTTGGTCACAGGAAAGAGTGCTGAGATGTTTTGCTCCAGAATTGAAAAGCAATGAATTTCATCCTGTTCCTGGGAGAATCTCTTGCCCATTCTCACAGAATTACACTTCACTGCCAGTTTATGATACATCTGCAAATGTCCAGCACCCACCGCCTGGACTCTCTATGATAGCCTGTGCTTGCTGGCTGCCCTCAGGCTATTGTTCCAGGTGTTTTTGTGGAATTCTACTGTCTGTTTTGTCAATGGCAGTTTTTTGTGAATGGTATCTATGACCCCCTGCATTTCCCAGATGCTCTGTGAGACACCGGTTGGGTTGCCTGGTGGAGAGTCTGAGCTGCACTCTGCAGTAATTATAGAGGAGAAGAGCTGCCCCAGGCTTCTGCAATAAATCAGCCTGACCGTTCACTTCACAGCCCTTATTAAAGGGTTTCTTGTCTCCCAACAGTAACAAACAGACCCTCCTCTGCAGTGGTTTGCCTTCTGAATGTGAAGTTCTTACAGGATTGACTTCCTGAAAAAAAGAAATGAGGTTTTAATGTTCTGGGATTTTTGTTTCCTTTTCAGGAAACAAAACATTTAAATGAAATGTTAAATGTGAAATCAGGAAAGATTTAAATGCAGAGTTGCAAAACCATTGTAAGAAATGGGTTTTGGGTCACGCAGGCTTATTTAAGCCCTGGTGTTGAATTTACAGTTCAGAAAGACAAAGCTGAACTGCTGCCTCTGATCTGCAGTAGCACGTCTGTTTAAACATCTTGATATACCAGCCCTGTGCAGGAGCAGGCAGGCTGTATACAGAGTGGAGAGATTCTATAGATGCACAGAGAAGAGAAATTGACAGGCTGGTTGTAGTACTTGGTACTGGTGGATTTTTGCATGAGGTGGTAAATGGCTTTCACATTTCACACATTTCTACAGTGCTAATGCTGATGCTGCCGAGCTTCGCTGTGGTTAAAAGAGCCCCTCTCATCACTGGCTTTACTGTGCTGCAGCTCTGGCCTCTTGTCACGGCCATCGATCCAAAACCCAGCGAGAATTCTCTCTGAAAGCTCACTGGAGCAGAAGCTCAAAGTTTCTGAGTTACTTGGTGCCCTGACGCGGTGGGTGTTGGCTACAGTTAAAAAAGCTCAAGAATGTAAACTTATAATGTTCCAACAGACATAAAATCCTTAAGCAGTCCCTGGGCTTTACAGTTTTACAGCTGCTCATGGCAGTGCAGTCGAGGCCAACCTTGCTGACCAGATTATTATTGATTATGGAAGCATAGTAATGCTAGTAAATCCTCTGAAATGCCCGCAAGACATGCAGGTGATGCAAAATATTGTGTGGAAAAAGGCATTGTTTAATGGAGGAGAAAAAAGCAGTCGAAGAAGTGTAGTCTGACTAGTCTGTGGCTGAGGTTCCCCTGCTCACTGCTTGACTGCGCTGTACTGTAATCGCGCTGTTTGCCCAGGGCAGCAGTTCCTCAGGGCTGGGGGTTTGTGCTGTTTTTTGGCACGTTTCTCAGTTTGTTCCATCAATTCAGAATAGGTGGCAATTGGAAATATTCTCCTAACCAAATGAACCAGCTGTTTCAGTTAAGTCTGTGTCATAATAACATAATGAATATCTTTCTAACTTATGAGTGTCTGCTGTTTTATGTCCAGGCAAGAGCTCTTGGCAGTTATGAGGGCAAGAGAGCGCTGTGTGTCTTGCCAGACAAGACCAGGAGGCATGGCTGGAGCTCCGGGATGCATTGAAACCAGCAGTTCGGTCGCATGCTTCTTTACTAAAAGATTTCTGAAACCAAAACTGCACTTTTTTTTCCCCCTCTTTGAACATATTCCCCCTGAACTGAGTTATCTGTGACCTGGCTTCTCACTGGTGTAGTATGGTACATGTGCATGTAAACGTCTCAGTTCTATTCTATTTCAATTGCACAATAAGTATTGTACTGTATCAAAGATTTAGCTGCGCTTTGCTAACTGGACTCTGTTAATGCTACAGTGAAGGCTCTACTTGCCACCAATGTGACTATTTTGTGCAATAGGTCAAGACAGGGATGACCAATGGCCACAAGGCAACTGTAGGGAAATTAAATGTATGTAGAAGGAGTAGGAAAACTGTCAATAACCTAAAATTACCAGGAATACACCAGGCAAGGCTGTCCTATGGTATGGTTCAGCAGAACCCTCACAGCTCACTGGTTGTGCTGCTTGTTTCCTCTCGCACAGTGCTTAATGATCTGAGGGTGTTCTCTGCTCAGATTAACTGTCTATTGTACACTTTTCCTTTTGAGAAATGTTAATTCTCCTAAATCCTTCTGGCTGTTCCCCAGGGCCACACTGACTCTAAGCAGCGCCCTCTCTCCCACACTCCCTCTCTCCAGACTCCACGCTTCCTCTCCTGGGAGTTCAGCTGTTTACAGGGCTTAGGAGCCTGATTAACTTGGAGGGGCTGTTTGGGTTCACACACAGCAGGTGGCTGCGATGCGCACATCTCTGAATCCCTTTGTCTCCCTGCGGTTCAGTGTGCAGTCTGGACTCCAGCTCGAGTGCGGGGCTCCACGATATTACCGTGCTCTCCGATGTTGACTCAAAATATCCGATTTCTACATAAATGCCTAAGTGCCCTCTGTGATTCGATGCTGGTGTTTCTAATCAGATTCTTCCTTGGTCTGATTTGCTGTCGTGTGACCTCTCCTCTGCCCCAAAAGGCTCAGACCTGTCGGGGACGGGCAGAGCAGCAGTGCAGAGTGTGTCCACAGCCTCTCGGCAAAATGCTGCACTGGACAGACCAAGTTGAGTGATTGCTGAAAACCCAAAGGTTTTCACAGTGCCTTTGCCATTAAGGTGAAGTACCAGTTTGTATTTCTCTAAGCAGAAAGCACCCAGACCAATTTGAGGGGTCCTGCTTTGGGCACTGGTGCTGTTCCAGCCCTGCCTCTCCCTGCTGCAGTACTGTCCTGGCAGGGAGTTCGGGGATGAGCGCCATGGCTGTCTGCCAATCCCAGCGTGTGTCGCAGAGAGACAGAGGAACGGAGAGAGAAGAGCTGCAGGGAAACTGTGTTGTAAATTGCTGGCCAACCTGTGATTCATAAAACAGGTTCTGCTGTCTGCCAGTCTTCACCTCCAACCACAAAGACATACAAATAGACTCTGGCCTGCAGCCATACCTCCCTGCATTCCCCTCTCCGCACAGCCCACGGCCTGCGGCTGAGCGCTGTCAGCAGGCTGGCTCGCTCTCTCGGAAAGAGCTGCATCTAAGCTGCTCTTTGCACTCGGCTCGTAAACCTGTTTTCCCTTCTGTCCTGCCTCTCTTTAATAAGCTCCATGGGAAGTACCTGGCACCGGCTCTCCCTGGGCTTCCGTTCCTACATGCCGTTACTGAGCAGCGATGCTCCCGCTGTCAGGAGTGAGGGTGCAGCGTGAGAATCCCGACGATCTCCCTGGATACAGGGGGAAGGAGGGGGGCAGGCTCGAGAGACACGCCTCTGCTTTATTTATTTGTCTTTTTTACTTTTTTGGGCAAAACAAGCATTATGCCTCCATTGACTTGAAAACTTCAGAAGCAAGTGTATCTGTACCTTAATCTTCCCTTATTTTGAATTTACAGCGCACTGAAATTTAATGCTTTTCGTGTGGTTCTGCTTTACACTTAATTCCAACTACCTTTGCCCTCTTGTGGCTCTCCTATGGATTTTAGTTCCCTTGGCTTAGTACTGTACCAAGATATGATAACAGCATAATTAGGAGCTGGAGTGATGGCAGATTCCATTAGTTCAGACCGTATGTGTATACAATGGAAATTTTACTTGGGAACGATTAAAGTTTTGGTTTAAAACGGCACTTGCACAGTGCGCAAGAGGCCAGGTGCCATTTTTTCCTGTAACTCGGCACCATCGTTGGCAGAAACAGTTCCAGGGAGAGCTGATGCCTGGGCAGCATGAACAGCCTGACTGAGACTGATATAATTTCCCCCCCCTGTGTTTGCAGGCCAGCTGCTGTGTGGACAGGAGTGCTGCACGGAGATGCACTGTACATCGCGCCATCCCTGAGCTGCGCCACGCTGCCCCCAGCCTCGGTCTCTGGCTGTGACCTCCAGGGTGACCTCACTGGGCAGCTGCTCCCACCTGCTCTGCTGCGCTTGCCTGTGTCTCTGGCCAGCGGGAGCGATGTTCTGATCCACACGCTCCTGTCCAGGGGAAACGGAATTGGTCTTCGCTCGCTGTGCCTTTACCCGCTGGGTGCCTGGTCGCAGCTGTACTGATCTCTGTCGAGGAAGCCCATGGCGCACCCCTACGAGCCCTGGTTCCGGCCAGCGCCCCCCAGTGGAAGTGCCGAGGACATGAGTGTGCCCTCCTGGTGGGACCTCCACGCCGGGGCGGGGAGCTGGATGGACCTGCAGGGGGCACCGGGGGGGCTACAGGGCGCAGGGCAAGGGGGGGCTATGGGATTGCAGACCCTGGGACCCTACACTTCAGACCCCCAGCTATGTGGCCCTCCCCCCTCCCACCTGGGCCCTCCGTCCCCGCACCTCTTCTCTCAGGACGGCTTCAAGCCGATGGAGACGGCCGGGCAGGAGCAGCAGCAGCACCCCTTGGACGAGCCCATGGAGAGCAGCAGCCGCCCCAAGTCGCAGCGGCGCTCGGCCCCCCGCGGCTCCGGCCAGGCTGTGTGCCGCTGCCCCAACTGCGTGGACGCGGAGCGGCTGGGGCCCTGCGGCGACGGCAGCAAGAAGAAGCACCTGCACAACTGCCACATCCCGGGCTGCGGCAAGGCCTACGCCAAGACCTCGCACCTGAAGGCGCACCTGCGCTGGCACAGCGGGGACCGGCCCTTCGTCTGCAACTGGCTCTTCTGCGGGAAGCGCTTCACGCGCTCCGACGAGCTGCAGCGCCACCTGCAGACGCACACCGGCACCAAGAAGTTCACCTGCAGCATCTGCAACCGCGTCTTCATGCGGAACGACCACCTGGCCAAGCACATGCGCACCCACGAGCCCCCCCGCGAGGAGGAGGAGGCGGGGGCGGCCGTGGGGAAGTGCTACGAGCCGCCGCCGCCCTCCAGCGCGGCTGCCGCTGGCGCCGGCGAAGCCCCCCTCAAACCCAAGAGGGAACCGGAGTCCAGCTGCCCCGGGGGAAGCGGCCAGCCCAACTGAGGGCGCAGCCGGGTCCCGGGTCCCGGCTCCGGGCTGGATACACAGTGCGACGGGGCGCGGAGCTCGGCACTGCGAGCAGGGAGAGCCAGCGAGGGCTGCTGTGCTAGTCTAGTCAAAGCCAAGGCCTAGTCAACTCTTATCAATGTTCAATGTCTGTAGTTGTGACGCAAAGAGCACCTGATCTTCAGAGTCCTGGATAGTCGTAGGCAGAGAGCTGCACAGGGCCTAGCGGCTGACCCTCTGGCTGCTGACGTGTAGGGGGCGCTGTTAGGTCACGAGACAAGCTGGTGCTGTAGGTTAGAGTATCAGCTCGTATTCGCAAGGAAAGCTTTAGGATGCCCCTCTACGACAAGACAGGCTAGAGGGAAGGTATTCTGTAGTTTGTATGATTTCTAATAAGGCACTTATTCCTGTTTGATTTTCAAGTCTGTTTAAGATCTTCACTAAGTCTCGGCTCCTGGTTGGCTGCTGGCTGCTCTGCTGTATCAGCCTGCGGACATGAAGTCGCCCCTGTGGGAGAAGCCGTGAGGCATGGACACTGGAAGTGAAAGCAGTACTGTGTACTGCACGTACAAGCGCACTGATATTTTGGGTCTTAAACCACTGTTGAAGTACATCAGCTTCTGCCTTTCTTGGAACGGATTCGGAGTGGTCCAGAGAACGAAGCCCCACACCTCGGTGGGGTGATCTGGCGCACTGAGCACTGATGCCCAAAGGAGGCCGCTGTGGTCGTTATTTTAAAATATTGATCTGGACCAGAAATTCTCTAACGCTACAGGGTCCTCCTTCTCTCTCACACACAAACCATGCAAGGTGCCGGGGGTTGTTTTTTTTATCTCTAATATTTCCAAAGCCCCTGTGAATACTGAAGCCATACGAATCGCAGACGCCAGAGAACTGAGCACGGCCTGTGCTACAACAGTCACTTCGCTGTTCCTGACAGTACAATGGAGCTGCTGTCTTTATTTGCCATTCAGGAGGGAGCTGGTGTTTGTGTGAGAGGTGAACATCACTAATGAATGAAATTAAGTTTAAGTACTGTATGACATATTTAAAACTTTGTGCTTTCTTAAGATGGAGAAAATAAAATATTATGAGATTTAAAAAAAGATGCTGTATGTTAATTTATGATGTTTGGCATATTTAAATCCCAGTGTACACAGCAGCTGTGTTTACTGGTTTGGCAATTTCTCTGTTTTCTGTCCTTTGTTTTGATTTGAATTCTAAGGGGGAGGGGGCTTAATTAAGAATAATTTCCCTTCTGTTTTCTCCGATTCCCTCCTTCTCATCGCCGCACTGCCACGCTCCGCCAGCAGGGGGCGATGAGTAATCACCAGTTTTACCGTGTGGCTTCTTCATCTGTTAGTCGGTTTTGATAGTTTTTTTTTAAGTTTTAAATTGAGATTAAATTTAGAGAATAACTGAATAAAAGTGGTAGAAAATCAAGTAGGTTGTTAGTGTAACACTGTGAACTTTGTGTAATGAGATTAAAAACTTTTTTGTAGTTACAGTTATTTGTGTGTTGGGTTTTTTTCTGAACGCTGAGCTGGAGAAGTGTATTCAAAGCAAACTGACAAGGGTAGAACATTGTTCACCCAGCATTCACAAATATGCCCAGACACAGCCAGGGCCACACTCATTCTTGAGAGGATCAAGGTTCCTGATGAGAGCTGGCCATTTGACCATCTGATCCCGTTGGGTAGTTACATACCGATCCAAGGATCTCTTCTGTCTTTCTTGACAGAAGCCTGGGAATTGTCTTTGACAACATTTCTGGGTAGTTTGCTCCACTCTTCCACAACCATTTATGTAAAGAAGTACCTCATTTTGTCCATTTTAAATGCACTTCTGCATTTGTCATTGTTTAGGTCTCCATGTTTATCCTGAAGTCCACTGGGTTGACTTTCACAGTGCCTTTAAAAAAAACAATTCTTCTAGCAGAGTGGATATCTACAGGGATTCTTTCTTTAAAACACACTCCATCTGTAATCTGGAAATGAGCACTACACCTTCCACCACAGAGAGGCTAGACACGGTGCAACCAGTTAATTTGAGGCTAGAGGTCTGCACTTGAGCTCCAAGCCAAGAACATCCCAACTCTTGAACGAAGTGGAAACTGTTGTTTCCTTGTTGCGCCTGTCCTGCTGCTGTTGTCTCTTTCTAAACCTGTTTAAAAACAGGTCTGCGAAGATCATCAATGATGGTCATCAGACAGTGAGTAAGCTCACGTTATGCTATTCTGTAACAAATATCAAACCTATATTCTCACAATCTGGCACACGCACTGAGCCAGACATTGTTTAGAGCTCAGACACCTAATGTTATCAAATTAGACTAGGTCAGGCCAGAAGACAGATTTAGCACATATGAAAAGTGCGGAATTCAACACGGACTTCCTAATGGGTTATAGACGGCAGTGCCCTGCTGCTGCCCCAGGCCAAGCGCATGGAGAGCCCAGTCTCGTGTCTGCGCTGAGTCACCTGCTCACCTCAGAGCTGCTCTTTCTGTCAACACGTTTAATGAGCAGTGCTTCTCAGAAGGAAGCTGCTCTCACCTACACTCTCCCATCTCGCCTTTTTGTGGGAACAAGTACAGATACATAGACTATGACATCAACATGTCTATTTAAACCTGATCTGTCAGATTTGGTTTAACATGCACAGATGGTTTATATAAACCATATAAAAATGAATATAAAATGAGATTGTGAAGAAGTATTGTCTTCAGTAATTTCAGCTTTGGGATCCACCTTACTAAGTCTGAAGTCCTTAGGTTTCAGTTTTGCAATCATTCGGAGCAGTCCCTCCAGTCACGGTCCGGTGGGGTGGGGAGACCGTCCAGCACACTGAAAAAGTCTTATCTTTATTCTGTTACTAACAGTGTCAAAAGAACGCTGTGTATACATATATTTGTAGAAAAAAATAGAATTATGATAAATATAATATTATAGCACAGTGGTGGGCATTGCTGCCCTGCAGCACTGGGGCCCTGGGTACAATTCCAGACCTGGGGTGCTGTCTGTGTGGAGTTTGTATGTTCTCCCCATGTTTCCTCCTACAGTCCAAAGCCATGCTGGGGGTTAACTGGCTTCTGAAACAATTGGCCCTGGTGTGTGTTTCTGTCTGCATGTGTCTCTCATCCAGGGTGCACCCTGCCTTGCACCTGCTGCTTGCTGGCATAGGGGCTGGCTCCCCTGCAACCCTGAATTGGATAAAGCAGTTAGAAAATGGATGGATGGTAATTTATTATAATTATCACGTAGTGATGAAAAGGAATATTTCTGGCATTGAATCAGTCTATTCTTGACTGACCGAGGTACATGGGGGTGAATTTGACTGTTGCATAAACACTACAGGAGCCTCTTTCTCTGAGAAAATGAATCAAGAAAAACGAAGTATTCAACATGCCCCTCATATCAAGACAGCAGCACGTGGGTGCCCATGATGGAGGCTGGGCTCTGGCGGTACAGTACCGCTGGTTTGTTCAAAACCAGCAATTTCTGCGCTGTTTGAAGCTACAGGAGAACAGGGCCCATCGACGCCAGGACACGACCCGTGACGACACAGACCTGCGGCATCATTGTGATCTTTACTTGCTGGACTTGAGCCCCATAGGGGATAGTGGGGCTTCTGGGACCAGGGACCGCGCATGCTGGTCCGAGCTGTAGGGCAGGAATGGAGCTGGATTTCACAGACATAGAAACCCAGACAGGCTGGCTGAAACGAAGCACAAACTGACCTATTTTGTATCTGTTCAATACAATGTCAATGACTCGCTCATTTTTCTGACAATAACGTTGTAAATTTGTTGCCGCTCTAAGCAATAAGTTTCTTTTGTCCTTAAACATAAAGAGCTTTACCTTTCTCTAACGGAACGCACGTCTTTGCAGACAGAACAGGCCACAATGGTGAGCGCCTGCCACCTAGTGGCCACAATGAAAGACACATAAAAAACGATTGTGTGGAGGAGAGGATCCAGAAATGTTTCACAAAACAAATGAAATGTTTTAGATTCACCGACATGTTTCTATGTAGCTTAAAATGTGTCTTCGGTATAGTGTTCATATATCACCCAGCGGTCCTTTTTACAGAGTGATTCTAGAATGTCATTTCGCTTCAGTTCGCTTCTTCAGGAAAGGATAATGTAATTAAATTAATAATTTGTATCTGAATGTGAAAAACTCTCTTGAACCTGACAATGAGCAGTCTGCTGAAGTCAGGCATAAATCGTGATGATGATGATGATAATAATAATCGTCTCCAAGCGTTCACATTTTTACCTCGCTCCTCCTGCAGCAATTCCTAACATGTCCACGGCGCGGCGCTGTATGTTTCTGTGGGCGCATCAGCTGATCCAGAATCTGCCAGATAAGCAGCGCCAGTAGCTGAGCTGCTGTGTCCGTGACATAACGGTATTCAGCCCCGAGCTCTGCCAAGGTAAGAATTTACTGTGAACAAGCGATTAGCACAAGGACATTCATATGGGTGTGTCCACACAGCCACACCACTGATCCGAAATTCGTTTTGCTCGCCGCCTGTGGTTCCGCGTTGAATTTAATGTCAGTTTATATTCTAGGCTTGCATGCACAGCTGATACAAGGTGTAATCTCCCGGCCACAGCAATGCTACGGGCAGTGGGTAAACCCACGCAGGCCTGTCTGTTTTGACCGCTGTCTGTGGAAGGCCGCCTCGGCAGCACACGAACCAGGAACTGGGATCGATCAGATCGTAGTCTGACAAGGTTAGCGATTGTCAAACTGCCGGCAGGACACGGAGAACGTCGCAGCAGCCCAGTCACTGTTTTTTGTGTCAGACAGCAGAATATTGGACCTGCTTCGGGTATTCATGTGCAAATTACCGACTCTCACAGGCACACGCACAGTATCGTTTTTTTTTAAATGATATATAGACACCTTAAATTCTGTAGATCTGAGAACGAACTCGTCCGATACGGCGCACCTGCACAGATGGTAGTCCCGGCTCCGGCGGCGCGCCTTGAAACATTTTGCCCGTGATGACTGGAGAGACGGAAGTGGCTGAGGGGTTGATCTAACGACCGGGGCAGTTTTCTGCAGCCCTCATTGGTTTTAGGCTCACGTGACTCGGGTGATCCCTTGTCAACCCTTATAACTGTAATGGAGCCGATCCTGGACCGGAATCCGGGTCTCGGCACTCGAACCGGTGGCCAGAGACACTCAGTCAGGCCTTTTCAGACCAGACCCGCTGGCATGGGAGACGGCCTTTAATCAGCTATTCCCGGGAGAAATTCTCTTTTCTGTCCTGGTCCGGGTGTGGACTGATCCTTGTGTCTCTTACTTTCCAAATGAATACATTCCTTTGAGTTCTTACACAGTTGTTACCCAACTGTGAGAGAGGTGGTCATGCATAGGTACAAAAATGACTACTATTTCATAGTGCTTGTCTAAGAATCCTGAAACTCACATTTTTTTCTTTAAACATTTAGTGGTTTTGTACTGATATTTTGTTTGAACATGTCAACAGGGGTATAAAAATTAAATCTCCAAATGCAAGTTCTCTAATTCCCAGCACGGGAGTTTTGAACAGTTTGAAGTCTGAACTGAGTTTGGAACTGTATCCAATAATAAAGCAGTTAAGGCAGTTAGTCTTTTCAATAACTATCTCTTTAATATAATATATTTAATATATCTCTTTATTTGTTTGTTGGTAAGATTTTTTTTTGTGATAATTTTTCTGCTTTTTGTATGGGAGCTGTGCCCTGCTGGGTTAGACACTGGCCTCGGTGTAGAGGCGTCCTCTGGTTCTGCACTCGTCTTTGTCCTCATGAGGCTGAAGTCAGGAGAGAAAACACGTCTGCTCCTCTTGCAGCCTTGCAGAGCTTTACTGCCACAGACCACAGCAGAAAGATATACAGGCCTAATTTGCAAGTCTGCAATGTTTTACTGAGACCTAGTGCAACAGTCTGTTCCAAAGAGTTTGCGGGCTCAGCGTTTGCACGTTACTGCAGTAGGGAGGGTCAGGGGTCACAGGTCGCAGGTCAGGGCGTCAGCTGCTTGTGCTGCTCTTGCAGGTGTCATGGCCGACGGTCCCGCTGCGCCACCCTGCTCCTGTGACTGTTTCGTGTCGCTGCCGCCCGGCTCGCAGCGCGATGAGGTCATTTTCGGCAAGAACTCGGACCGGCCGAGCGATGAGGTGCAGGAGGTGGTCTACTTCCCTGCCGCCTCCCACCCTCCTGGGTCAAAGGTGGAGGTGAGCAGAGTGGGGGAGGGGTTTGGGGGGCCATGCCCCTGCCGTGACATCACCAGCCCCCGTCTTGCTTGTCTGCCTGCAGGAGGGGGGTGATCCAGTGGGGACGCGAAGACCTGGACAGTCCCAGTTACTGCTGGGCCTCCTAGAGCTCTAGCACTGACTGGGAAGCAAGCTGGTGCTGTAGTGCCAGAGCTGTCCCCACTAGAGTCCCTAGGTTGCTTTTGTAAATATGAGGAGTCTCTACGGTCTTGGGATTTTTGTTACTGTTGTTATGGGCTTTGAGGGAGAGTTGTTCTCCTGTTGATGTCCACAGTGCACATACATCGAGATCCCCCAGGCAGAGTCGACCCACGCTGTGGTGCTGAGCCGGCCGGCCTGGCTGTGGGGTGCCGAGATGGGTGCCAACGAGCATGGCGTCTGCATCGGCAATGAGGCGGTATGGACCAGGGTGCCGGTCAGCGACACAGAAGCCCTGCTTGGCATGGATCTGGTCAGGTGTGTGGTCAGTGTCAACCCTGTGGGCGATTGCAGTTGGCTCTGACGCTCAGCAGGCTGATGGGGAAGAGGTGCAGTTTGCTATTGCCCAGAAGTCTGATTCCGAATGGCAGCTTCTTGTACAATAAATCAGAAATCAGACATTTTAAAAATGTACTCAGTACTTCCCAGGCTGTGGTACGAGTGCTGCAGGCAGCAGTGTGGTGAAGTGGGCGGGGTTCGAGACCCTGGTGCAGTGTGGGGGAGTGGGCGGGGTTTGAGACCCTGGGGGAGGTGCTGCTGTCCCCTGAAGCAAGGCTTAATTTAGATTGCTCAGCTGTATAAATGAGTATGAAGCCACTTTGTCACTTTGAATAAGGGTGTGAGCTAAATGTATCATATCATTTATATATCAAGACTATTGTCCTATGATCTACGGATGGTGCTTCGTGATGTACAAAACCACCAGCCAGATACGCTCGGCTGTTTCTGCTCTCATGTGCCTGCTTCGTGCTGCACTATTTTTCTGCCTGGCAGGGCTGGTGGTTTTAATGTGCTGTGTTGTCTGTGCCCACTGTGTGTGCGCCAGGCTGGGCCTGGAGCGAGGGGCGTCGGCCAGGGAAGCTCTGGGTGTGATCACCGCACTCCTGGAGCAGCACGGCCAGGGGGGGCGCTGCAGGGAGGACCCGGCGCTCTTCAGCTACCACAACACCTTTCTGCTGGCTGACCGCAGCGAGGCCTGGGTCCTGGAGACAGCCGGGCGGCTGTGGGCAGCACAGAGAGTCACCGGTGAGCCCTTCGGGACTGGGAGAGGGGGTTTACCAAGATGATGTCATTCAGGGAAGTGTAGCACGTCGGCTTTATTCTTCCTAGATTTCCCTGGCAGTTTGGGTGTATTAAACCTCTCATTGTTACTTGTGACCAACGCAGTCTGTGGGTCTGCCAGAAGGGGGGAACAGCTGTCTTAGTGCGGAGTCTTGTCTCCTGCAGCCGGAGTGAAGAACATCTCCAA